AGAGGAAAAGGTCCTGCACAAATTTGGCAAATGGATTTTATCGGACCACTGCCATGGTCCCAGGGGTGTAGGTATGTGTGTACTGCGGTGGACACATACTCTGGAGTGTTAGTCACTCACCCATGTAAATGTGCCAATCAAAAATCCACGGTGAAATGCTTAAAACAAATTGAGGCATTTTATGGTGTTCCTCTCCAAATTCAGACCGATAATGGAACTCATTTTACCGGGAAAATGGTAAAAGATTGGGCAACTGAAAAACATGTTGAATGGATCTATCATATCCCTTACTATCCAGAGGCTGCAGGACTGATTGAGCGGATGAATTGATTGTTGAAAGATTCATTGAGAAAGCTGAGTGAGCAACATGATTTGACTAATTGGAAAGCAAATTTGTCACAAGCAGTGACCCAATTGAATAATAGGCCAATCGCGCCAGGGGTAACACCACTAAACCGAATGATCACTGTACACAACACACCCGAAAATGAGCCCATCAAAATGTGGAAAATTGATGATAGGGCTGAACTTCCTATCAGGGCAACACCAAGTTCTGCAGGGTTAGACCTAAGAACACTGGAAGGAGTGGCATTAATACCATATCAGATCCAAATTGTAAAAACAGGTTTGGGACTAAAATGCCCTCAGGGGATGTATGGACACATCCTTCCTCGATCGGGGTTGTCACTTAAAGGGTTAACTATTCAGGCTGGTGTGATTGATAGTGATTATCGAGGGGAATTGGTTGTGGTAGGTCACCACCAAGGCGAAAGCCCCTTGGTACTCCAAAAAGGAGACAAAATTGCACAACAGGTTTTGAAACTATGTAACATGTCAGATATGCGAGAAATTAATCCACCCATTGAAGTAACAGTTAGAGAAAAAGGAGGATTTGGCTCCACTGATAAGCCAGGAGCAAAAGTCTGGGTGAGACAAGAGCATGGTCCGCCTAAGGCTGCAGAAATCATTGCTCAGGAAAATGATGCAACTGAGCAATGATTGAATGTGCCTGTAACAAAGAAATGGGTGAATGTGCCTGTAACAAAGTGTTATCTGAGAGAAAACTAATCATTGTTCTCCTATGTTTTATAGCAGTGCTAATTTTCATTCCAGCTCCCTGTTCCTGTGGCACGTGTAGTTCGGGAGACAAAACCATCATGGAGGAGAACGTCTGCAGGATTGGGACCCACAGAAGAGGGTGTGTCGGCTCCAGGGACATCAAGTGCCTTGCCCTCACTGTCATGATGCTTCTGGTCCCGGCCTGCTTCAGCAAGATGATCCCAGGAGATTTACTGGAACCGGTGAAGACGGTTTGGCTCCTTTGGAGAAACACAACTGCAGAACGAACACAGGATAATTTCACATGCAGGCCCAATGATAAGTGCTTAGTAACCATTGTGACCAGTGATTGTCCCTTAAATAGATGTAGGAGATGCTACTCTGTTCAGCATCCTATAGCCACCATGGGCTACACATTAACAGTTATTTCTTATGTATCCATGTGTCAGTATGCATCAGACCTGGACAGACGATGTGTAGGGAAAAAAGGAACTAACATATCTCTTTCCCTAACTAATGACGCCCTGGTACTAGGAAATGTACCAGGAAGACACACGTTTGGACACATATTCTTTGCCTTCCTTAACACTACTGTGAATACTCCAACACAGTTGGCTCCTGTTGCACATACTTGCCAAAAAATGGCACAGGCTAGATTGACCACTTATGTACATTGGAAAGTTGTTTTTCCTCCCCAACCATCATGCGCTCGGAAAAGGTGCACATTGTATGACACTGTGCTAGGAGGAGCGAGGACTTTGATGGGAGTGTCTAATGCGGTTGACAATGAGGTGACCTGCACAATGCTCTCTAACACAGGACAGCATGTTTCCCAAGCCGTCCATCAGATTGGAGTTTGGATGCCTTCATCAGTCATGACACAATAGGAAGCTGCTAAAATATTCGTCCAGCAGCTAGTTTGGGACATTAGAATGTGGAAGGCCACTGCAGAGATATTGCGAAACATCTCTGCGGCATTGGACTGGACTGTGTGTAATATGCAAGTGCTGCATGCATATGCACAACGTGAACGTTTTCAAAGAGTTGTTACTACAAGTAACTTTCAGGAATGGAGAAGATTATGGAACATCAGCATCGATCATTGGTTACACCTAGAACCTGAGAAAACTAGATGTAACAGTATTATGTGTGACGGTCATTGGACCCAGTACAATGGGACCAAAGATGTATGAATTTTCTATGTTCTTTGATAAATTGTATGTTTCATGCTCATTTTGTACATTTTCAACACATTTTAAAGGAACTGTTTGCTGTATGCTAATTGTATGCTAATTGATAACTCTGAGCTCATGGTCGTCACCTCTGGAGCCCATGGACAATGGGGGGCCAGACATGGACCACAGGAGGCCAAGTGGAACTTGTTCTGTATGTTGATTGAATCATGGAATGAGCTCATGATCAAGTCGTGGGCAGGGAAGTAGCAATCTGATTGGCTAACCCGTCTGCAAGAGGCGAGATGGCCATTCCCTTCTTTCATTCGAGGTTGTTTTGGTAATGAGTATAAAAAGCAGCAAAGTCCCATTGTTGAGTCAGAGTCAGAGTAGAGTCCTTGTTGAGTAGAGTCTCTGCTGTGGGTTACATACGGACGCTCATATTTGTGTTGCTGCAGCTCTTCCCCGAACTGTCTTCTCTCCAGTTCACTGTGTCACGGTAAGAGCGGATTGAAAGAATCTAAGCATTACGCATTGTTTGTTGTGTGAATGAATTTGCTGTAATCTGTGGCAGACTAAAAGGACACATTTATTCTAGCACAGGGGGTGCTCAAGTCCAGTCCTCAAGAGCTACCATTCTGCAACTATCAGATGCATCCCTGCTCCAACACACCTGAATCAAATGAATGACTCGTTACCAGGCCTGTTCATAGCTGAGCCTGGTCTACTGGAGTAAGGCTGCAACTAAAAGTTGCAGGACGGTAGCTCTCGAGGACTGGACTTGAGCACCCCTGTAAGCAGAACAGCGTCTTGTCATTATTTATCACAGATCACCCCCGATCCTGCTTAAAATTTTACGAAACACATCTTATGGCCACAAGTTCTTGAAACTAATACAGCAAACAATTAAATGTTCTGTATGTCAAAATACAGTTGCAGTGCTACATCTCAGTCAGACTTAATCCAGTGCTGTAGTTTCCAAATTTGCTAGTCATTGCTCTCCTTTTGACATTTACGGAGTCCCCACAACACACATTAAGCAGTGTTACTTAGTGTGTTGGATGCTGGAGCAAAGTTGATCCCCAGAAGGACATTTAGCTGACTGTGTGTTGGGTCCCCAAACTCATGTCTCAGGTGTTTGTAAAACTCTAAAACCAGTTGCAATGCCTGAAAATGTTGAATATTTTGATTATTTGTTTGTCATTGTGTTTAATATAAGATAGGGGTTTAGTTCACCACTTCTTTTCATGATTCTATGAGTTAATTTGAAAAAGGTGTTTGTTCAAACCATGGTTTCCATTGAAGCAGTTGGTAGTCCATATTTGTATACCAACAAGTGTTTGTTAAATGTTCCAGACATTGACCAGTGCAATCATGGAACCAACAGGAATGGACTGCGGACTTCCATCCCTTGGTTCAGCCTCTCAGACCGTAGAGGAAGACAGAGATCCTAAACAAGTAGGTGTCTCAAATTTAGCTTCATGCTAACCAATGTTTGGCTTGTTATTCTGTTTAATTGATTGCAATGTTGATTTTCAGTGACAGATTTGGTTGATATGTGAATATTACCAAAGAGTCAGCTCTTGGACACCTATAATAATCCTGTTTTGGGTTTTAGATGCCATTGAGTTGGGCTTAAAGACTTTCATAACATTACTAATTGAATCAAATATAACAGTGAGGGTCTGATATGCGTGTAGAATGTGTTGTGTTGACATGCGGTACGGCTGACTGACATCTTATGGTCACAAGTTCTTGAAACTAATACAGCAAACAATTAAATGTTCTGTATGTCAAAATACAGTTGCAGTGCTACATCTCAGTCAGACTTAATCCAGTGCTGTAGTTTCCAAATTTGCTAGTCATTGCTCTCCTTTTGACATTTACGGAGTCCCCACAACACACATTAACCTTTGTTACCTAGTGATCCCCAGAAGGAAGGACTGTGTGTTGGGTCCCCATATCTCATGTCACAGGTGTTTGTAAAACACTAAAACCAGTTTCAATGCCTGAAAATGTTGAATATTTTGATTATTTGTTTGTCATTGTGTTTAATATAAGATAGGGATTTAATTCACCACTTCTTTTCATGATTCTATGATTTCATTTGAAAACGTATTTCCTGCTTAGCACTGTTTGTCTTATTATTGTGTTTATGTGGCATTTGATGGTCTCATGTACTGAAGACCAGTGTGTGTAGAAGTGAATCTGCTGTGTTACATTGAAGGATTTTTCAGTCTGTTTGAAATTTGCTTGTTAAGTATCCTTTTTCAGGTGCTAATTTCTCCCACAGCACACATTAATCACTGTTAATAGTTGGAGCAAATTGATTTACATGAAATGGTTAGGTTATGTTTATGGTATACAGTACCTTAAATTCATCATAAATTATTTCTTAACTTCTGTGAAAGTTAAGAAATAACAACTTTTAGCTATTGTCTTTCTAAGAAAAAATCATCTGCCATAAACTTTTTACAATCAAGACTCTTAAATTTCCCTAATATCAAATCTCCTTTTCAATCAAATTATTTTACAGTTTTTAAGTTTTCATGGCTCTAGATTTTTTGCTGAAACAAGCATGTCTTTCTCTGTTCCAGAATTTCGCTCAGTGTTTTGATGAAAACAAATTCATACCTAGACTGTGTCGTACTAAAAGTGTCATTGTAAGTTTTTCTTCCTCTTTTTTTCAATTAGAAACTGAGAAGAACTATGTTTAAAAATAAAACTGCCTATTTAACGTTTCTGTCCTTTTTAGATGAAAAATGTGGATCTTGAAGATTCTGGCGAACTTTTTGACTCAACTTCGGGTAGTGGTGAAGAATACATTCCTGATTCTGCTGAGGAAAGCGATATTGGGAGTGAGGAATTAGATATCCATCCCCATGATTCCCAGGAAGATTTGATTAGCAAGTTTTCATCTTCAGAAACTGTTGTGGAATCTGAAAGTACATCTGTCAAGTTTGTTGCAGACAGTTCTGGCAATGAATCATGCTCTGTAGTTGTTGGTGCATACCAAAAGAAGGGAGGAAAAAGGGTCTACGACAAAAAGCATTACTGTCTGTACTGCTGCAAACCATTTTCCAAAATGGCAAGACATCTGCAGCAAGTACATGAAGATAAAATGGAAGTGGCTAAAGCACTCAGCTTTCCAAAGGGTTCCAAGGAGAGAAAACAACATCTAGATTTCATCCGGAATAAAGGAAACTATGCTCACAATGCCAATGTGATGCAATCAGGAAGTGGATTGTTGGTGCCATTCAAGCGACCAAAGGAAGAAATGAAGAGTGGAGACTTCATGCACTGTGCATATTGCCAAGGTCTTTTTACAAGAAAAGTACTATGGCGCCACATGCGGAGTTGTGCTCTTAGACCAGAATCAGCCTGTGTAAAACCAGGAAAAAATCGTGTGCAATCCTTCTGTACTTATGTTGGTGGCATACCTTCCAACATTGGCAAAACGTTGTGGGAAATAATCAGTGCAATTAATCCTGGTCCAATTACAGATATTGTCAAGAATGACTCTGTAATTACTGAGTTGGGGCAACATTTGCTGAACAAGGGTGGTACTTCAGTTAGGAATCAACTATGTGTACGTGAAAAGATGAGAGAATTGGGAAATTTGATGTACAATGCCAGGAAATGCACAACGTTAAAAAAAATGGAAGAACTCATAGATCCAAAAAACTACATGGAGACTGTGAGAGCAGTCCAATTGACATGTGGATTTGATAGTGAAAGAATCATGTTCAAGATCCCATCACTGGCTAACAAACTTGGAAATTCTTTAGTTAAAATTAGCGAACTCCTAAAGGCACAGGGTTTGATCTCGAACAACTCAGAACTTGTGAGAAAGGCCAGTGGGTTTCACGATGTCCATCAGGAGAAATGGAATGAGTTAATCTGCGCTACTGCCCTAAGAAACATCAGAGGATCTAAGTGGAATGTACCAACTCTCATGCCCTTTACTGAAGATGTCCAAAAACTGCATGCACATCTGAATCAAATCCAAGATGAATGCTGCTGTTCGCTCTCTGAAAGTCCCTCTACAGAAGCTTGGATCAGGTTGACAAAGTCATTGCTGGCCCAGATTATTCTGTTTAACCGACGTAGAGAAAGAGAAGTTTCTAGCATGCCTTTGGAGGCCTTTTTATCAAGAGGTACGTCTCACCATCACCAAGATGTTGACTGGGCACTCACTGAAGTGGAAAAAAAACTCTGCCAGCACTTCTCAAGGATTGTCACCAGAAGAAAACGAGGGCGGCCAGTTCCGATTCTGCTAACTCCTAAAATGCTCTCTGCTTTAGAACTTCTCGTTAAACTGAGAGAAGCCTGTGGCGTTTTAAAAGACAACTTGTATTTGTTTGCAAGACCAGAATCCATGACACATTTCCGAGGTTCAGACTGCCTCCGTGACTTTGCAAGAGCCTGTGGTGCCAAGTGTCCGAGGTCGCTGACATCTACCAAACTCCGAAAACATGCTGCAACCCTTTCAACTGTCTTGAATATGACTAATACAGAAATGGATCAACTGGCAACCTTTCTGGGGCATGACATTCGTATTCATCGTGAGTACTACAAGCTTCCAGAGAAGACCCTACAACTTGCCAAGATCAGCAAAGTTTTGATGGCCTTAGAAAATGGAAGATTGGCAGAGTTTCATGGCAAGAACTTGGATGAAATTCAGATAGACCCGGATGGTATGTTTATCTGTCCTTTGTTCTGTGTATCATTTGCAGCTTTAAAAATTACTGAACATTTAATACAGGCTATAGAGACTGTAGCTGGTCAAACTGCTTCCCAGAAGCTGTTTTCACGATGTTCTAAACACCTGCCAATTGTCCGGGCTGTAGTCTCACCACTCAAAGTTTGGACAGGAATGTTCCTCCACACGCACAAATGTCAAGCTCGCAACAAGCCAATTTCCGTATCATAATGAATTAGACTCTTCTCCAATGCAGTTCAGAGGGCAATGAGTTAATTATTATAAATTATTGGTTAAAATATATTTTCAATAGGTTAATTCAGAACTTGACCAGACTCCTAACCTGTCCGCTCATCTAAGAAAAATTCTAACTACAAAATAACAAAAAAAACTTCCCAGTTGTTAGATGATTTGCCAAATCTGGCAAAACTGATTTAATAAATCCTTCAATTTTTGTGGGTTAAACAGAAAACATAAACTCTGATGACACCAATGATGACAACAATGATGACAACAATGCTGTGGATGAGGAAATCTCTTCTGCTATTGGTAAGATTTTTGAAAAGTTACTATACAATATTAGGTATTTTAGAGTAAGTTGTTGTTAGTTTTCTTTCACTTTATGTATGACCTGGCTTAAGCACACAGTTGAGTTGTTTGAAACCAAATGGAAAGATTGAGGTTCTTATAGAATGTCCTAACTCTTAAGAATTTGATATATTTCTAAAATTGATTTTTCTTTTAACAAATATTTATTTTATTTTCCTTGGGACAACACAAGATCTGAATTGCTGTATTCACAGTAAATGTTAACATGAAAAACATGCTACTCTAATTTTTGTAGAACCATCAGAAGTGGAAACCCTTCCTCAAAATAGAAATGAAATGACACCACCATCATCCAAGAAATGTAAACCACCACCATCATCCCCAACAGATGATGATCAAGAGGAGATACCATTGAAAGGCAGCACCACAAGACCTTGCTCGAAAGGTAATCTTATACAACCCTTGTGTGCTTAGACTCAGTTCACAACTCATTGAGTATTTGGAGTGGGCCTTAGAATCACTTTCTAGTTACCATGTTGCGTGCTCTTCCTCGCCCCTCACACCTGCAACCTTCTAGTCAACAGCTCGGTCTGTCACTCTCGGTAAACAGGGAAGTAAATTCCTTTACTTCCCTGTTCGATTCTGCTGACGCGTTTGTTTATTTTTTTGTTTGACTCTGGCTCCATGTGTTTTCTGTGTTTATGTGTCTTTTAATCTTTTTTTCACTAAACATTTTTCATCTACAAGCTGCCTCTGCCTCTCCGCATTTGAGTTCACCTTAACACAACACATCATGACAAAGTTACAGTTTTAGTTCCGAATGTACACTCCAGACACATGTTTGTCAGGTTTTTGACATAAATCACAAAAAAATAGTACTTTAACAAGTGCAAGTCTACACAGTATTTGGACAATGCTGGTCAGTAAAATAACTAAAATGGCTGTCACATTTGAAACATTTTCTGGAAACAATGTTTCATGAGGTGAAGGTATGTTATTGACTATTTTGCCCATCTATATTTTTATAAAAAGTATTTCAATGGTATGGATTACAGTCATTCTAAGTTTAAAAGTTTATTACTATCAATTAATATAGTATGCTTTGTGCTGTGCTGTTCATTATTTATTGCCATTGAACAGTATTTAGAAATAAATGCATTTATTGTTAAATGAGCTCTGAGGTTTCTCAGTTTGCTTATCTGGTCTTTTTAAGGCAGAAGACCTGCAAAGAAAACACCGTGGACTGAAGACGAAGTTCATGCCGTCGAGAAACACCTGGGTGCTTTTATAAAATCTTTCACGGTGCCAGGAAAAAATCACTGTGAAAAATGCTTAAAGGCAGAACCAGTGGCTTTAAAAAATCGAACATGGCAAAATGTGAAATTTTTCATTCATAACCGCATTACAACTAACAGGAAGAAGCTTCAGCGTAATTAAATAGGCTTGTTTTATATATGTAGTATTTCTTTTTCAATTAAAGTTCCAAATATTTGTTCAATGTGTCTTTTACATACTGCTTCAGTGTTAATTTAGAAGAAGCACTGTTTGTCTTTTCATTGTTTTGTTTATTTGAAAAACCTGAAGTGGAGGTTCATCTTTAATACTTTTAAGATAAGATTATTTAGGTTTTTTTTTACAGCCACTGAGCATCTTTTTGCCTATGTTAATTAAAAAGGTGTTTTGCAATTATTTGTTTTTATGTAATAATTTTCTGATGTTAGTGATGAGTTATAGCTCATTCTGTTAAAATCTAATAAGGCAGATGTAATATTTCAAGAATTTGAACAAAGGTCCCCACTAGGTAAGTTAGTATGTGTAACTTATGCAAATAATATTTTAATCTGGTTCTCGTCAAACATGTTTTTTTGGAAGTTAATGAGTCCCCCTGTATCATGGCCCAGACAAAGTTGATGAATCTACTTTTGAAATTGAGTTATTTCAAGCTGTGTATAGGTTAATACAGCTATAAATAGTGTAAAATATTGTTTCTGGATTTTTAGAACCACTAGAAAGGCTAGTCCCCAAATTTGATAAAAAAAAGTAGTAGTCCTCATGATCGACGGAAACACGTATGTGTGTGTGTGTGTGTGTGTGCGTGTGTGTATGTGTTTGTGGGTGTGTGTGTGTGTCAGGGAGATGACATACTGGTTAGTAATCTGCTCTGACATGGATGCTTGAAATGATTGTAATCAGGAAATTTCAGTCTTAATTTAGAGAGACTCTCTCTGTCTCAACTTGTTCCTGACCTGAGAACAGTGATGTTAAACTCTCTGTGGGAACCGAGCCTCATATCCTGGTATTTCTGACAGCTGCTAGCTCCTTCGCTCTATTCAAGCCCTTAGTTCACTTACAGGTTGGAATTGGAATAAGAAACGAAGAAAGACTTTTGCAGTTTAAAGGCAGAAACCTTTAAGGCATTGAGTAAATGACAGGTTTTTGGAAAAAATTCAAATTGATTTGAATTCAGTCACGCAGGCAGATTAAAGTTAAAGGTGAACATATTTTCTGCACCTCTGGAAGATTATAACGTTTTAGATTTGTCCAATAATACCTTTGGGAGAGTCTTTTTTGTGGAAAACTGACTGAACAAGTCTGAAATAACATTAAGGTCTGTCGTATCATTTCCACACATTCAGACATAAAATGAAACGTATTTCTGAAGGTAGAATGATTTTAGATTGTTTTAAAGTTGACTCTACAAACAGAAATGGGCCAAAAACGACAAATTCATCAGCTCAATCACGCAAAACGTCAATGTATGGATATTTTTAGCTTTGCCCAGCTTTGCGTTTATATTATTTAAATGCACTTGACAAATAAAAAAAAAATCAAATTGTTGGGTGGCATCCTGGTACTTCAAGGTGTGTGAAGGTTCTCTGCAGGTGTTTGATGGAAAGCTGTCATGACTCTCAGGGATTCCTGGTGTGTATGCGACCCACACTGTACTGACCCCTGAGTCAGTACACCTTGACTCAAGTATTCACTTGTTACTTTGTCCAAGATGTCAATAATCCACAGAAAGGCAGCAAATTTTAAACATAATACCTAAACAAAAAAAACTAAGAAATTCTAGCTAAATACCAAAAAGTAACAACAAAAAAAGTCAAAGTCACAACAAGTCCATGTAAGTTTTTTCTATTTATGCTCAGTGTCGTTAAAAGACAACACTTAAAAGACTACTTTCCATTTCTCCTCCGCTGAAGTGATTGTTGGAATGAAGAATGCCATTGATTATTCATTCACTTGAACAGGCAATGAAGAGGGAATCTTCATCGCCTGAAGAGTCCTTCTGTGAATGTCTGTCACCTCCTGTGACCTCTGGCGAAGACAGACCTGTTGGCTTTGATCACTCGCTTGTTCTTCCCCAATGTGCACCACCCACACACACTCTGAAGCCCTCCACAGAGCCTGTTCCTTCACAATGACGTCCAACGGGTTGACCTCGTAACAAAAGCCGGAGGTAACGGTGTGTGTGCTTGTGCGCCGCCTTGCGTGTATCCTCTTTCAGAAGTGACTGATGTGTGATGATCAAAACTGCTGGTACAGTTAATTGACAGGAGCAGGGATACATGAGAAGGAAGAGGAACAGAGATGTTCCCCTATATATGTGCAAGTGTGCTTGTTCAAAAAAAAGAGAGATAACTAGGTTTTACTAAGACTATCTCAGATTAGATGTTTCCTAGATTTTGGGTCGATGGCAGTCGATGCCTTTTTTAAAGGGAAAAAACTCCAAAACATTTGGGTTAGTGTTAGGGTTAGACACATTTTACAAAAGTTTGGAAGCAAGATCATTTGTATGCAACAAATGCAGAATGTGTATAACATCAGCCTTATAGTAAGATCAAAGGTATTAAGATACTTAAAATCCTGATAGATCAAAAGATAAATCGAGCATGAAAACAAAATGCGACAATTACAGCACATTTCACTTTGAAGATGTTGGTTCCAAAGTTGAGGGACTTTGAAACTTGACTGTGTCTCCATTTGTCTGGTCCCTGACCTTGGACCACATACTGAGGAGCTCTCTGGTTACCCAACGGTTCTAAAGTAAACATGACTAACCATTTTTTCAGCGATTGGCAGACATTTGTGTTTCCTCATGTAGGCTCAGCTGGCGATAGTGACATTATGGCACAAAATGCTATGTACTCGTTTCATAACTCATGCAAGAGAAACTGTGACAGTGGTTTCAAATTATTTTCTACTAACCAGAATTGCCATTCATTACCCAACAATAAATAACGGTTCTCAGACGTACGCTTTCGAGTAACTGCATTGAATACAGCTGCTTTATTTGCAAATAGTGACTTAGCAAATCACGCGGCGGCCTCTACGGGTGCTCACCTGCCCTGTTTAGTCTGATTTAATTCACCTATAGTTTGTTTGGCTTTGTTTGGGGAGATGTGAACTCACAATCGAACTCCAAGGGAGACCAAAGGAAGCAAACTGATCGGCGTTCAAACTGGGTCTCGGTTGACGTAAAGTCTGTGAAGGCCAAGCAGACCAGAGACGGGTTCAAAAGCAGGAAGGACGAAAGGACAGAGCATTGTGGGTAAATGCAACCAAGATATATGTGAATATATATCACTGTCAGGAGAAATGGCTCATGCTGAGCCCATTGTTGAAGAATGTTTGTTTGGCACATTTGCCAAAGACAAAGGAGAAATTCCACAACCGCTATGACCTGACTCCACCCCATTTTGGGTTGCTTGTCCAGATGTTCTTGGGTCGTTCCCTTTTGTGGTTCTTGGTGCAGTGCCACCACAAGCAAGAGGGTGAACCAGTTGCTCAAAGGCTTTGCTTCATTTGGCACGTTTAAAAGCAGCCAGTGAAAAATCCAGACAAATTAAGGTGCAACTTTCAGAGGGCAGCATTGCACCTGGCTATCGTCTGATGGCTTCTTCCAGCATTTTAATGCATCATGTCACAAAGTGTGCATCATCTCAAAGGGCTTTCTTCCTATGACAATAAGAAGAAAACACTTGGAGAAAATTTGCTTTTGGTTGGATTCAGTCACCACATCTGAATCTAACCAAGAACCTATGGATTGTGGTGGAGCAAGAATTTCACATCATGGAAACCTGTACAATTGCAGGGTATAAATACAAAAGTGACTGGTCACTGCAATTTTTTTTAAGTATGTTTCACATAGTTATTTCTATCTTTTGAACCATTTGGTGCAGATTTTTATTTGTGTTGAAATTGGGAAAACTTTTCTGGTCTCAAATGTTGGCCTCTATCTGGAGAACGCGGCAAATTTAAACGACGCAGTCAGGGTGCCACAAAACATGCTATGACCATCAATGAAGTGACTGTAGACGTGATTGGATCGGTTTTGTCTTTTGCCCGATGACTCTTTAACTTCTGTTTTTTTTTCCCCCAAATTGAAGTAAGAGTAAAAAAAAAAAAAAAAAAAAACTTGTACATTTGACCACGGAAACAACTTCTGTTGGCTTGTACATTTGCTTTCAAACACAAAACAAGACACTTTTATTTTCCCCCAGATCGGTGTACAAAGTAAATATGCTTTCAAAGTTTGGACAGAAATCCAATAGGTAGGGTCATTTGTTGTGCTAATATTTAACACCGTGCTAATATTTGGAGTTGCAGAGCAGTTCACCAGAGAAGACGGGGCTCACAGTGTCAAATCGGACGAGTCGTCCGACCAGCGGGCGTCCTGTGTGCATGCAGTGCTAATATTGCGCAACGGTTTTGAAATAAATATGTTTCCACGCAAGCTATAATATTACATTTGTGCAGGAACTATTGTTAATCTATCTGTGTGGAGTGGATATCATGAGACGGTCAAAAGGTTGTGTCACTATTTCAGTTCTAAAGTGACAACTTACAGACACGCACTTCAACATCGCCTTAAACCAAACATTCAAAATAATCGATCTGGCTTTATATATATATATATATATATATATATATATATATATATATATATATATATATATATATATATATATATATATATATATAGAATGATTTAAATAATTACAAATGATCATTAACAATATTTTGATGATTTGAATATTTTAAGTGTAGCAGAAATAGAAGAAATCTCCAGGCAGAGTAGAATAAGAGTAAAAAAAACATTATTTTTTTTACATTTGGTATAATGCCTACTGAATAACTGATCAAATGATCAATTATTTAATATTTAAAAATGACAAAAGAGAATAAGAAGGTAAGTGGACATTTTAGTATATTAAGGAGCAACATGATAATAATGCATGTAAGAAACAAAAAAAGCAGCAAAATAATTTGTCAACGACAGTTTATCTGAAAATAAAACTTCTGAAACTTTAACACACACTGCAGGTATGTGTCTGTATCTGGTGAGTTTCTGGTTAAAACATGTTTGTTCTTTATTCAGTGAAGTTACTCAGTGGGTAGAGAATCCAGACATTTTCCTCAGGTAAGCATGGCGATCCTTCATAATAATGTTACTAAGCTGAAAGTAAAAAGTACAGCACAGCAAAAATGCATCTAAAATTTTTTTTTATTCCAAAAAGTTACTCAAATTACTTCCCAACTCTGGCTTTGGGGGGACAAATACGTTTTCAC